TGTTTTTAAGATTTTCTCTTTATTTTTTGTCATTTTAATTATAATTTGTCTTGGTGTTGGTCTGTTTGGTTTCACCTTATCTGGAACCATCTGTGTTTCCTGGACCTAGATGTCCATTTCCTTTCCCAGGGTAGGGAAGTTTTCAGCTATTATTTATTCAAATAAGTTCTCTGCCCTCTCTTTTCCTCCTGCGCCCACCCCCCCAGCATGCTGATGTTAGAATGCTTGATGTTGCCCCAGATGTCTTCTAAACTGTTCTCATTTTTTTAAATTATTTTCCTTTTTTCTGTTCAGCTTGAGTGATTTCCACTACTCTGTCTTCCATTTTGCCAGTGCATTCCTCTGTATCATCTAATCTACTATTGATCCCTTCTAGCACATTTTTTATTTAGGTTATTGTATTCTTCATTTCTGTTTAGTTCTTCTTTATATTTTCTAACTATTTGTAAAGCTTCTCACTGTGTTCATCTATTCTTCTCCTGACTTCATTGAGCATCTTTATGATTATTAAATTGAACTCTTTATTGGGTAGATTGCTTGTTTCCACTTTGCTATGTTCTTCTTCTAAGGTTTTGTCTTGTTCCTTTGTTTGGAACACATTCCTCTGTCTCCTCACTTTGCCTAATTTTCTATGTATATTTCTATGTATTAAGTAGGTTGGTTACATTTCCTGATTTTGGAAAATTGGCCTTTTATAGGAGACGTTCTATGGGGCACAGCAGCATAAACCTTCTGGTTGGCAGAGCTATGTGCTCTAGGAGTGCCTTCTGTGTGGGCTGCATGAGCCCTTCTGTTGTGATGGGTTCAACTACTATGGGCACACTGGTAGGTGTGGTTAGTCCCCAGCCCATTTGGCTGCCAGGCCTTTCCTTGTGCAATGGCTTCAAGCTTACTGATGTGTAGGGCTGGGTGTTGACTGGGCTCGCTGCACTGCTCAGGCAGTCCCAGGGGTTGTACCAGCCCACTGGTGGGAGGGTGGTTCTCAGCATGGCTGGCTCCTGGGTTTTCTTATCTACTTTGTCTCCATTATTTTTACTTTTTGCTGTTGTTCTTTTGTTTTTTTTTTACTTGATACCTGATTACACAAGAAGTATTTTAAGTACAAGCAAAATCATCAATATCCCAGGTTACTAATATTCATGGGCCAGTCTATGTCTTTAATTGGTGTATTTAGACCAATCATATTTAAAGTGATTATGATAGTTGGATAGGTAGCTATCATATTTGTTACTGTTTTCTATTCATGTCCTTGTTTTTTTCTTTTTTTAAGTCTTGTCTTCCACTCTTTTGTTGCTTTCTCTGGTGTTAACTGACCATTTTATATGACTCATTTTTCTCTCCTCTTTTATCATGTTAATTATACTTATTTTTTTTTAAAAATTAAGTGATTTCCCTGGAGTTTGTAATATATATTTTACAACTTATTTAAATCTGCTTTCAAATAACACTAAGCCATTTCATGGGTAATGAAGTTACCTTATAGCAGAGTATTTCCAATTCCTCCCTCCTGTCCTTAAAAACATCACTGTCATTTATATCACTTATTCACATATCCATAAAGTATAATCACCCAATATATCATTGTTATTGTTATTTAGAACAGTTTATTTGTTCAATTAAGAATATATATATATATATATATATATATATACACACACACACACACACACACACACATAATTTACCTTAATTTATTCCTTCTCTAACTCTCTTCCTTTCTTTCTGTAGATCCAACTTTCTGACCTATACCATTTTCCTTCTCTCTGAAGACTTTCTTTTTACATTTTTTACAGGGCAGATCTGGTGGTATGGTAACAAATTCCTTTAACTTTTGTTCATCTGAGGAAGTCTTTATTTCCTCCCTTTTAAAGGAAAATTTCACTGGAAACAAAATTCTAGGTTGGTGGAATTTTTTCTTTCATCACCAACAATTTCACACCACTATATTCTTCAATGCCTGGTTTCTGAAAGTAAGTCTAAAGTAATTCTTCTCTTCCTGTATGTGTAAGGAGTTGTTTGTTTTTTTTCCCTCTGTCTTCCTTCAAGATTTTTTCTTTTTGATTTTCCATTTTGACTATAATATGCATAGCAGTATATTTGTTAATATGTATCTTTCTTAGTGTTTTGTAAGCTTTCTGGATCTGTAGTTTGGAGTCTCTCATTAATTTGGGAAATTTTTTGGCCATTGTTACTTCAAATATTTATTCTCTTCCTTTCCCTCAATCTTGTCCTTCTAGTATTTCCATTACATGTGTGCTTTGGAAATTGCCACAGAGTTCTTGGATATGCTGTTCTGTTTTTTTGTTTTTGTTTTTTTTTTTCATTTTTGCTTTGTTTTTTTCAGTTTGGGAAGTTTCTTTTGACATATCTCCAAGTTTCCTAATCCTTGCCTTGACCCTGGCCAGTCTACTGATGAGCCCATCTTAGGCATTCTTCATTTTATTGGAGTATTTTTGATTTTCAGTATTTCCTTTTGATGCTTAGATTTTCCCTTTCTCTGCTTAAAATTTCCATGAATACTTTTGTTTTCCACTTTTCCCATTCTCTTAGTATATTAATCATAGTTATTTAAAATTCCTAGTCTGATAATTCTAAAATATCTGCTATATGTAATTCTGGTACTGTCACTTGCTTTTTCTCTTCATACTGTGTTTTTTGCCTTTTACATGCCTTGCAATTTTCTTGTTTAAAGCCAGAAATTGTGTATTGGGTAAAAGGAAGTGACATAAACAGACCTTTATTGGGAAGTTTTATTTTTATTGGCAAGGAGTTAGACTGTTTACTGTTTGCTGTAGTTGTCATATTAGCAGTTATATTTTCCTATCTTCCCTGTTGTCTTTGTTTTTACCTAGAAGCTTTCCGAGGTGTTCTGTTCTTTCAGTTGTAACCCCCTGTTATTAGGCAGAGCCCTAATGTGTAGAGAGAAGAAATGGTCTATAATCCTATGATCAAGTCTCAGTCTCCTAGTGAGACTGTGTCCTTGGGCTGTGACTTTCACAAGTTCTTTTCTACCTTTTTGCCCTCTTAGGTGAGACAGGAAGGCTAGAGGGGACTAAAGTTGAGTATTTCTCTTTCCCCACATGAAAAACTAAAGGGGCTGGAGTTTTGTAGCTCTATTCCCTCGCATCAATGGCTAGTTTAAGCTCTGGTAAACTAGTTTCATTTGAGGACGGGCCTCTGTTAAGGAGGACAGAACATTCTGGACATATTTTGAAATGGTTATTTTTTCTCTCCTCTTCTAGAAGCATGAGGACAACTTTCTCAAGTCTTCATCCTGAGAACTTCATGGGGTTCTGGAGGTAAAACTCATGAAACTGTAGGGACCCCCTAAGCATGGGCTCCTAGGAGTCTTTATCCCTCAAGCTAGATCCACTCTGAATCTTCAGAAATAACTCAATTACTCTTTAAATACTTCTACCAGGCTCTAGCTCTGGCTTCTGCTCCCTATAATCTGTGATTCTCTGTATCTGCCAATCTATCCAGTTTGGGGGTTAACTGTACCCTGTGTACTCAATCTCTGATGGATTTAAAAGAGCTACTGATTTTCAGGCTGTCCACTTTTTTCTTGTTGTGAGGACAATAATGACAACATATAAGCTCTTTACATGTCAGACCAGAAACAAGAAGTCCTCTAGGTTTCCCCTCTTTATGACATAAGTCTATCTTAATCAGTTGGTTTTGATTTATAATATTTACAACTTTTCTGGCATTCATTTTATTTGTCTTTGCTTAACATTACATTTTTTATGAGACATTTCACCCTTTAGATTATAATCTCCTTAAAGGATGACACCATAACTTATTTTATATGCTTAATAACTGATGAATTTCATTAAAATTTAAGACATCATGTTAAAATATTTCAGAATTCCTCTGTTGTCTTAATCCTAGTGGGGGAATGAAAGTCTCAGAGAAAGGAATAATGGAATTCTTCTCCCAGATTTTCTGTCTGTAAGAAAAGTAAGATTTTAGCTAAGCAAGATATATAAGGCCTGCTTTCCTACAGAAAGATTTCTGAGTCTTTGAAGCTCCTAAAAACATTATCTAAACCTGAATTTGTATAATTCAGCTGTAGTTTGTATAATTCAGCTGTAGTTTGACTACAGTTGTGACATTAGCATCTCCACCTGGCTGACTCTATCCCATCTGATTGCCAAAACATTGACCCTGTTTTGTGGAGAGATTTAGGCCTGGGGATCTTGGGCATTCTGTAAAATATGTGCACTTACTGGCTTAAGAAAAAAGTAGAAAGAAATCAAGGTGCTCATATTCCTAACATTCAACATTGTAATTTTTTCACTTCTTTGAGTTCCCTCCTAGGCTTTGTTCATATAGATACTCATTTATACATTATAAACATCTCTGAGTAATAAGTACTGAGTATAGTAATAAGTACTGAGTAATAAGTACTGAGCAATAGGTACTGAGTAAAAGTACTTATTACTTATAAGTACTTATTACTTATAAGTTTATACTTATACTTATTACTTATAAGTATAGTATATAAGTATAGTAATAAGTACTAAGTAATAAGTATGGAGTAATAAGTACTTACTATATGCAGGTCACTGCTAACAGTTTTTCCTTAATTATTTTTAGCCTTCTCAATAACCTTAATGCCTAGGTATACTTTTATTCCTATTTTTTAGTTGTGTAAACTGAGACTTGGAAAATTTATCTGACTTCTCCAGAGCCAGACAGTGATACAGAATTCAAAAGATGTGGAATTCAAACCAAGTTTATGTGACTATAGCCAGAATTCTTAACTACTCTCTTACATAGCCTCCTGTGTACCTCTACTCTGCTATATGGCCACTCAATATATCTCTGTTCTAAAAACCTCACCCTTTCAAATGAATTCCTCTTTATCTACCTTCCTAACTTCAAATTGTTAAACCTTATCAAAGAGAAGTAAACCATCCCTGGTATTGCAAGTTGTCCAGTGGGTCTTGGGTGGTATTTTTCTTACACACCAAATTTTGGGAGTACAGTATACATACTATTGGCCAGCAGCTGGTTCTGCTGCAGTGGATTGAGGGTAGGAGCTCCTCCAAGGCCTGGCTGGCCAGCCAGGGCTGCATGAGCAATTCCATGTTGGGGTCCAGGAGCAGCAAGAGGAGACTGCATCTTATCCTTATCCCAGGAAGAGTCACTTCCACCTGAAAAACATTCATATAAACAGATTGCAAGTTAACAACTTTCCATAAGGATTTTTAAACTCCCTTTTTAGGGTTGTAATTATTAATATTACTATATAGAAAATTATTATTTAACATAAGTGACTCATTTTTATGATGGTTTCAAAAACTTTCAATAGCCTTGGATTTAAGCTGACTCTGGGAAGACTAAACAGCTTTCACTAATAATATAGGCTCACTTGCCTTACAGGTAGTCTAAAAAATCTGGAAGCATAATGAATAACTTTTAAAAGCATTTATATGTTGAAGACCTTTAACTGAACACTACTGCCTCTCCTTCCAACCCTCTAACATACGTGTGCTATATCTTAATGAAAAGCAGTTGCTATTCACTCAAAAAGAACACATTCATAAGAGCATGATGACATGCAAAAATATGTGGTAAGATACAAAATGATCAGTTAGTTTGTTTTCAGATCCAGCCCTCAAAAAGTTAATCTCTTCATACACAGCAGGCTTTTATACAAAATAAGATGGACAAAACATAAAACCACAGCTCTCAATTTGAAATTGTGCTTTACTTTGATCATCCATGCTAGAGAGTGAAGTAAAGTATGCATAAATGCTGACTACTATACTATATCATCATAATAATCTACAGTGGCATAGCTATTTCATCTGGCACTTAGCATACTGTGGGGCAGGCTGCCTGACTTCAGGCTATACTACAAAGATACAGTAATCAAGACAGTATGGTACTGGCACAAAAACAGAAAGATAGATCAATGGAATAGGATAGAAAGCCCAGAGATAAACCCATGCACATATGGTCACCTTATCTTTGATAAAGGTGGCAGGAATATACAGTGGAGAAAGGACAGCCTCTTCAATAAGTGGTGCTGGGAAAATTGGATAGGTACATGTAAAAGTATGAGATTAGATCACTCCCTAACACCATACACAAAAATAAGCTCAAAATGGATTAAAGACCTAAATGTAAGGCCAGAAACTATCAAACTCTTAGAGGAAAACATAGGCAGAACACTCTATGACATAAATCACAGCAAGATCCTTCTTGACCCATCTCCTAGAGTAATGGAGATAAAAACAAAAATAAACAAATGGGACCTAATGAAACTTCAAAGCTTTTGCACAGCAAAGGAAACCATAAACAAGACCAAAAGACAGCCCTCAGAATGGGAGAAAATATTTGCAAATGAATCAACTGACAAAGGATTAATCTCTAAAATTTACAGGCAGCTCATGCAGCTCAATAACAAAAAAATAAACAACCCAATCCAAAAATGGGCAGAAGACCTAAATAGACATTTCTCCAAAGAAGATATACAGACTGCCAACAAACACATGAAAGAATGCTCAACATCATTAATCATTAGAGAAATGCAAATCAAAACTACAATGAGATATCATCTCACACCAGTCAGAATGGCCATCATCAAAAAATCTAGAAACAATAAATGCTGGAGAGGGTGTGGAGAAAAGGGAACACTCTTGCACTGCTGGTGGGAATGTGAATTGGTTCAGCCACTATGGAGAACAGTATGGAGGTTCCTTAAAAAACTACAAATAGAACTACCATATGACCCAGCAATCCCACTACTAGGTATATACCCTGAGGAAACCAGAATTCAGAAAGAGTCATGTACCAAAATGTTCATTGCAGCTCTATTTACAATAGCCCGGAGATGGAAACAACCTAAGTGCCCGTCGTCGGATGAATGGATAAAGAAGATGTGGCACATATATACAATGGAATATTACTCAGCCATAAAAAGAAACGAAATTGAGCTATTTGTAATGAGGTGGATAGATCTAGAGTCTGTCATACAGAGTGAAGTAAGTCAGAAAGAGAAGGACAAATACCGTATGCTAACACATATATATGGAATTTAAGAAAAAAAAATGTTATGAAGAACCTAGGGGTAAAACAGGAATAAAGACAGAGACCTACTGGAGAACAGACTTGAGGATATGGGGAGGGGGAAGGGTGAGGTGTGTTAGGGCGAGAGAGAGACATGGACATATATATACTAACAAACGTAAGGTAGATAGCCAGTGGGAAGCAGCCGCATGGCACAGGGAAACCGGCTCGGTTCTTTGTGGCTGTCTGGAGGGGTGGGATAGGGAGGGTGGGAGGGAGGGAGACAAAGAGGGAAGAGATATGGGAACATATATATATGTATAACTGACTCACTCTGTTATAAAGCAGAAACTAACACACCATTGTAAAGCAATTATACCCCAATAAAGATGTTAAAAAATAAATAAATAAATAATAAAAAAAATAATAAAAGCATATAGGAAACAATCACAAAATTATTTCCAGGGCATCATTTTAAGAAGAATACTTTAAACAGAGAGGTAGGGGTTGAATTCCAATCACTGCAGTAGCACACAGTCTGGCTTTAGAAAACAAAATGGTTGTGTGGGCAGCCCCATCTATTCACTTGATGTATTTCATTAATTCAGAGATCAGTGGTTCTGTTCTTATTCCCATGCTGGAATTGTGACATTAGCATCTCCACCTGGCTGACTCTATCCCATCTGATTGCCAAAACATTGACCCTGTTTTGTGGAGAGATTTAGGCCTGGGGATCTTGGGCATTCTGTAAAATATGTGCACTTACTGGCTTAAGAAAAAAGTAGAAAGAAATCAAGGTGCTCATATTCCTAACATTCAACATTGTAATTTTTTTCACTTCTTTGAGTTCCCTCCTAGGCTTTGTTTATATAGATACTCATTTATACATTATAAACATCTCTGCCATGTTGCTTCAGGTATCAGATTTACAAAGTGTAATGGCTACATAGCAGTCTACTGAGTTAATGTACTATAATTTATTAAACATTGGATTATACGTTTGTTTCAAATTTGTCACTATTATAAATTTACTGTAATAACAACATTCATTTGAATATTTCCTTAGACTCAATCAATTCCCTAGAGTGTGATTTCTGGGTCAAAGAGGTTGCATGTTTTTATTTATAAAATAGAGTATTTACTTAATTTATACTTTTGCTTTCAAGTATCACATTTGCAAAATCAGTTTTTAGAGTTGTAGACTTTTTTTTTTTTTTTTTTTCTCCTTGCGTTATGCGGGCCTCTCACTGTTGTGGCCTCTCCCATCTGCGGAGCACAGGCTCCGGACGCGCAGGCTCAGTGGCCATGGCTCACGGGCCCAGCCGCTCCGCGGCATGTGGGATCTTCCCGAAACGGGGCACGAACCCGCGTCTCCTGCATCGGCAGGCGGACTCTCAAGCACTGCGCCACCAGGGAAGCCCTAGAGTTGTAGACTTTTTAGGGAAATATTTTCAAGGCAAAGTGGTGTTCTCCCTGAAGATTTAAAATTTATTTAAGCAAACTTCTAGAATCTCTGGGAGGTTTCTATTTGTTTCTTTGCTTTGGTTTTTTAACCTTTTTACCCATTCATCTGTTCTTATCCCACTTCTGGGAATCAATCCCCTCTGCTGGACTCTTTCAAGTCATCTTGTGGCCAAAGTCAATTTCTAATCCAAAAGTGGGAGACTTGGCCAATTTCCAATTAGACAAGTTTCAGACAAGGAAACACTAGATTCTCCATCAGCATATATAAAGTCCGAGGAGTACTTGGCCATACTTATAAAAACAGTTTTTCCAATCAAATGGGGAAGAAATAAGTAGCTAATTGTTCAGTTTCTTCTATAAGCCGTTCAGTTAACATGCATGGAAGCTTAAAGATAGGCAATTTGGTTGAATTGATAGATTGGCTTAATGGACCAGAAATCATTCCCTTGACGATGTTGAGGTTTGGTGTGTTTATTGAAAACATGCAACACTCTTATGATTACACCAATTGTTCTCTCTTTTCATCCAAATGTTTGCTGTTGTTTAGTCACTGCCTAAGAGAAGGGAGGTATTTTATGGTTGGTGCATTGACATAATTTAGCATTCACAAATCTGAAATTCCAATTAAAATCAATATGACGTTGTTATGCTGTAATGAAAAAGAATGGCGGAGGGGATGAGGGGAGTATCTTAATAAATGATGAAAGTAACCACATTGCAACACTGAGAATTCTTTATAGTAACATTGGGCCCATAAACATGATTAATACCAGAAAATGCCAAATTTTGGAAGATCAATTGCTGAGCAACAACAGAAACACTTCATCATTTTAGCACTGTGTCTAAGATATGAATTATCTCACATTACAGAACTGTAATTTGTAAAATGATGAGCAACACACTGGCAAATAAAGATACATTTAGAAGACACTAAATTATACCATTGATATTAACATGGTATTGCATCATCACAGCAGCAACAGCATGAAACAATACTAGGGCTTATATTATGTCAATATTTATTTTATAAATTGAAAATCCTTTAGTCAATTTTCAATAACAAATGGTACATTAGATATTGTCTAATGTTTTATATATTACATATTCCAAATAACTTGAATATAAATGATTTTTAAACTACATTAAAGGATTCCAGGTGTTTTTGTGTCTGCTTTTATGAGAGCTTTAGATGAACTTTTTCCAACAATTCTCATCTTTTTAACTACTGGGTTAAAAATGATACAAGGAAGCTGGTTACCAGCTGTGCCCATCTTCACTAAGTATAAATACATGAAATTATCCTGCATTCTTAAGGCAACTATATATGAAGTGAGTGACAATGGAGTATGGGACATCCTTGATATTTGCATAGGAAGCTCTGGACACATTTTTTTCTTTTGACCTAAAATACTTACCATTTTAAAGTCTATACAAATTGACTTATGACTCAGTATGGAGGCTTTGGAAGACCCAAACTTTACATTTATCTATGCCCTTGTGCCAATCTGTAATAACATCTACTGCACTTAAAACTGCACTTAAAGCTAAAAAATTGTTTTTACCAATGTAATCTAGAGTCAACCTTTTTCTACCACTATGTGAAGGGCACATCCTGAGCTCCCTTATACCATGTGAGGACACAGCAAAAATATGGTTGTCTGTGAACCAAGAAGTG